ACCCCAAACGCTTCTATTCTTGCGTTAGGAAAAGTTCCATAGGTGGGGGGCTTCGAACTTTTATAAAAAAGTAAAGAAAACAAGCTTAATATTTAACCTAAGTTTTGTTTGACCGCGAAGGACTAAAACTCAGAAGCTGAAAACCCCTTTACCAGACAAATTGATGGGGAAACCCCCCCCCCCCCCCCCCCCCCCCAAAAAAGAGAAAAACAAACAAACAAACGAACAAAACGTAATTTAAATTATATTAAATGAAAATAAAAGTCGCTTTTTTTTCTCGCCTGCGAAGGTTAAGCAAAGTCTACATGTATCCCAAAAAGCACCTCATGCAAAAAAGGCTATGGGTGAACAATGCCTGTCATGTGTCAGTTATTTCTTTTGTTTCAACTAGTTTCCAGCAGTAAATTCAACTAAATGAATCAAGAAGAAAATAACAGTTGTACAGTTTACCTCATTAGCTGATGGGTGTCTGAGATTCCATGGTACTTCCATGACATGTAACGTGCCCATACTGTCACCCACAGCTAAAAGCTGCTGTTTACCTAACAACCAAACAATCAAGACAAGTTGGCTTGTAGGTGCAGACAGGTCATAATGCATCGCAACCACCACCCAGTAGTTAAAAAGGTGGATAATGCTACCCATTGGACAAATTACAGTCCAGTAGATAACCCAAGTGATCTACCTAATACGAAACGTGTATCCACTGGATAGTGATTAACCAGGTGGAAAGAGCTTTCCAACCTCCGAACAACTGAGCAGTCATAAATAGTACACAAGTTTTCAGTACTGGCTTTTTTTTTCAAACGAGTCGACAAAGTCAAATTTTCCACCGTAACAAGATTGAAAAACTGACGTTCAGAACCCAGTAGTTCAAGAGGTGGATAACGCTATCCACCGGATAATTCACTATCCATTGGATAGTGCAATTGGTTTCCCTAACACTTATCCGTTGGATAGTGATTTATCCGGTTGATAGCGCTATCCAGCTTTTGAACAACTGGGGCCGGAGCCCTTACTCTTCGTCACAGCGAATTCAAGCAGTAAGTCTAATAGGTTTTAATTGCTACTATTTGTTTTAATGTATTTCGCACTTAAAACCCCTTTGGATATGTGAAACTTTTTTCGGGTTAATTTGCAATTGCTTAAATTGCAATTACCACTGCGACGATCATATCTTCATTTAACAAAAGTATTTACTATACTTCATGTATTATGCTTGTTTCAAACTCACTTGAGACTTGATGAGGTGCAATTGTTGTAATCGGAGCAGCAGTAACATTCTGTGTTAACGAAGGCTCATGTGACCTAACAATAACAACAAAACTGAGTAACATAACCGAATAAATAGACAAATCCTTTTTTTTCCACCATAAAATATCTCCCTCTTTAGCTTGTATCTTTTGATTTCCCATATAATAATGCAGTATGTATTATTATATATTTAAATTTGGCAATCCAAGCGTGATTAAAATGACAAAAGCCCTAATTTACACAAAAAGCAAAAGCCTGAAGGATTCTGGTCGTAGAACATGTAATAAAACGACGTCATCGTACAAATGACCTATTGGCCTTAAACGACAAATTTCTTTCACAATCACATACCTGTCAAGAAGGTCCCATACGTCTACATTTCCGTCTGTTTTAGTGATGAAAAACACCCCTAAGAACGGAAAGAATAATGTGTTACTCACTGCAGCAGAACTCAGCTAAGCTATGCAAGGAAAATTTCATTCTTCGTTCAGCCTCGTTCCCAGGGCTCCCTCCTTTTCTAGACTACTCACGAAGATTATTAAATTTCATTATTATTCATTCAAAATATTTCTCCGTTTCTAATTGGCTAAAAGCACACGCGTAATTCACCATAACCAGCTACTGTTGACCAAATTTGGAAGAATTTTTCGATTAATCAACCGATGACGTCAAAAGCGCAGCACAGTTGCAGGTTAATGCACCGTTAACCGAGAAGACCTGGGGACGAGGTTGAGTTGTTTTGATTGTGCAAAGGAAAATGGCCGAACAGCCGGCGGAACATTTTACTCGTTTCACGACGAACTATAGTCTAAAAACATAGCAAGAAGAGAACTCGACGGACGACATCTGCTATTTGGAGTATATTTGCAGACCTGAACAGCCCTTTATCTTCTAAACATGCACTATCGAGGTGAACTTAACATCGACGAAGGTAAGCATGTTTTAACTTGTTTTTAAATTAAGAGTTATTTTGAATGGATAATAAAGTAATCAACGAATTCGGCTTTCGTAAGTTTTAGACTCGGTGGATAACACCCTCCGAAATCTGCATAATTCTTCACATCCTACTCACCCTCATTCACTAATTGTTAAATAACCAACGGCAAAAAAACGATGTCATTACATCGACAAAAGTATTTGATAAATTACGGATAAACCAAGCAATTGATTCACTAAACGAGTGTTAAAGAACTTTTAGTTATTTGAATTGCATTGTTAACAAACCTATCGTAAAACCTTTCATCCTAGATACACAGTAACTGGTTACTAATACCCCTCCCATCTTATTGTACCTGGCCGAGAAGGACTCCAGTGTCCTCTTGTTAGCCTCATTAGATGACTCGCTGACTGAAGAAGAGGTCCACCCTATATAGTACAACAATCAAAGAAATAAAATGTGACCTCTTTTACTCATGCACATTTAGTTTTCAATCCATCCGGTACACTTAAGAGTAAAAACTAGAAACTGTACCGTAACGCCTTCCTTCCAAATTGCAAATGTCCATCCACCAACAGTGAGGATGATATCTCTAAAGAAAGGTGACCTCTGAAGAGAGGATATAGGACCATCATGGGCTGCCCAGACCTGCTCAGGGCGGGGAGCTAAACACAACAATTAAAATAATATAATTTAATGTCATCAGTGGCAAGATTGAAAGAAGCTATTGTAATTGGTAGTAACACAATTGAGAGAGTCATGACATATAAGTTACTAGGCGTTTATGTAAGTAATGACCTGAAATGGAACCATCATGTAGAAGTTATAGTGCAAAAGGGAAACAGGAGGCTTTACTCTTTATTGGTCCTTAAGCAATGTGGTGCACCTCCAGCTTCACTGGCTAAGGTTTATACAACCATTGTTCGTCCTGTTCTAGAATATGCTGCCCCTGTCTGGCAAAATATACCAGATTTTCTATCTTATAAGATTGAGAGCATTAAGAAAAGGGCTATGCGCATCATTTTCCTTTAATGAATTACAACGAGGCATTTTAAAAATGCCCTTAATTTAACAACTCTAAGTGACAGACGCGCTCATTTATGCCAGGTTTATATTGATAGATTCCGGAATGAGAATCACCCCTTGCATTTTATGCTCCCCAAACAGGAGGAGGTTGTGCATAATTATAATCTTAGATCTGGCATTAGCCGCTCCACGCGTCCTACCTGTAGGATCAAGCGCACGCAAGAGTTTGTCACGCAAGTATACCTAGTGGCTTGTACAATTATATTTTCTAGTATTTATTGGATTTATTGTATTATCTTTTAGTATTATATGTTTTGTAAATAGCTCTGTAATTCAGCCATTCTGTATATTGCTGCAGTGAGTCTTAATAAATAGTCATTATTGCTATTATAAGAAGCAGAAATACTTAGCAATAAAATAAGCGGCACTTACTGACTATTTTGCCACTATCATTATCTTTTTCAGGTTTCCAGTCCATGTAGACGAGGTCGCCTTCCTAAATTCAAAACAGAACACAGTACAGTTCAAACAAAGTGAGACGCGTAGCCCCACCTGTCATGAAACAAGCATACCTGGGCCCTTGCATGTTCACAACATATTTCAAATTATCGACATTAGTTATCTACTTAAACCTAAAAGCCTGAGTGTATACATGGCATGACTTTTAAAGAATCTCAAGTTTTTTTTGCAACCAAAATCTCAGTTAGACACCAGATTCAAGTTGTATATTAACAGCAGGGTTTATTTTGCAGGTCACAAGTCACAGGTCTAGAGAAGCACAATTGGTTTCTTACTGAAATACAGGGAGCATAGCGGTCAAGTTATAAATAAGCGGTCTGGATACCTTTTTCATTGCCTTTACCTGATTTTTCTCTCATAAATTATCTGTTTACAATTCGTGTGAAGTCATTTGTAACGGTTCACCCCTAAACAATCCTTTTAATCACATTTCGCACCAAGCAACCCGAGGACTCTGGCTCATCATTTTAGTGCATTCTGGTAAAATTACACAGTGTACAAAGCAGCTCACCTCAGTGCCAACAAAAAACTTAGAGCTGACATTTTCCAGCAGCTTGCCTTGATCCTTTCCCTTGGAAATACTAGATGATAAATTGGAAGTAACCGTGGATTCTTTCTCTTCAGGTGGTTTAAGTGCTAAAATATCACAGAAGTTGGAATGTTAAAAAAGGATTCCATTACTGGTAATACAGTTGTAGTTTACAGAGTATCCCACATAACAAAGACATCTTATGTAATTCTTTTCAGCGCTGTGTTTGGGATATTTGGGACGGTAAGGAACGCGTTGATGATGAAAGAAGACACAAGTACACCACTTTAAACTGACATCGACTATCTTCAATTTAGTGTCCACCAACGTATCAATCAGGCAAAGAGATTCTTCCAACAATAACTGAATATCACCAGGAAATTCTGTACATATGTGTACCAAAAACTGTAGACTTTTTAACTCCAACTAGGCATGACTAGGTTTCACAAGAGGGCCAGACCCTGTAACTATAATGGGCCTTTCATCGAACAAAAAGTCCTAGGCTATTATATGGACGGTCACATGCAGTTACAACTCACCAGTGGCTGATCTTGCACCTTGACGTTCTGAAATACTGAAAACACTTGGTCCAAATTCACCACCACCAGAAACGTGCGATACGGTAACCTAAGTAACAATAAACACGCCCAATGTTCTTCAGAACGTATCCTAATAAGTCTTGATGTTCCTGTGGTACAAAGACACAAATTTCCGAGGTGTTGCGGGCGACTGCCGATTGGCCGTCCCTACAGATTTTATCAAGGGCATCACGGTCAGGAAACTGGACTCCTTTCGACTCGATTTCGTTTGCGTAAGTGACGAACGCGGATCCTTCATCAGTGATTACGTCTAGTTATACTTGTAAATAAAGCTACTGTAAATCAAATAGGTCTCCCTAGAAATTAGGAAGCCTAAGCAACAACGACGGTTACGTCAACGAGAACGGCTAAAAAGCAATAGGTTTAGATCGGCAAAAACAACAACTCGGCACGTGCATCATGCTTTCTTATACCTGTCGTTGCCGTCACTCACTGCAAGACTACGACGTGAAACTGCCTAATTTCACGTTTTGGGGAGGACGTGAACACAAGACGACTTTCTTTTTTCTTCCCTGAACTTCGAGACAGTCTTTTAAAATTAATCTCCAGAGAAAAACTGCAACTCTTGACGAATTGAAGGAGATGGAACAAGTCCAATAGAGTTTGAAGCAGCGCGACTTCACTTTTTAAGTGACGTTTTCGTAGCCGTCGCCGTCGCCGTCGTTGTTGCTCAAGCTCTCTCTTATCCCTGTCAGTTATAGTTCTTCTTTAAGTAGAATAGCCACTTACGTGTCCAAAAGGCTGGTCTATTGTATCGATAGAATGGACTCACTACAGTATGGATAAGGGCCACTTCTAGAGTAAGTGTATGCATCGCCTCTATGTATTTGAGATGCTTTTGCCAGTTATTCAGCAGCATGCATAAAAGAAATCTGGCTTTTTAGTCGAGAAAAACACTATGTTTGAAACGTTACGCGTCAGGAAGGACGTGACTCTAAGTGTGAACAAGATCGTAAGTCACCGGACAAACTGCACCCACGTTAGACATACACTCTACTTGTACAGTACTGTTTTGCGCAAAATAACAACCTCACAGTCAACGTCAATTGAATATACCACCCCTCGGAACAGAGAGGCACAAGGGTGGCTCTATCCCTAGCGCCGATCATAACGCTATTGCTTTAATTTGGGCGGGTTGCAAAATTTTTTAACATTAGTGTTCTTAGTTATCCTGAGTAGCAGACCCTCTTCTATCTAAATCATGCGAAAAACGAGCAACGAAGCCGAGACAACGAAGTTCAACGCTGGTGTGTTTATTTTATCCTAGATAATTGGAGAAGGGTCCTCTGGAGCATGAGTTGGCCGCTATAATGGAAATCAAGTAGTGATTTTTAAGCGGTGGTCCCTCATCAGAGCAGCATCTCCGTGGTATAACCAAGCCGCAGCAGTTAAAAGTGACAAATAGCTTTCACGTAGTAACACACACACATACACACACGAGTTTGCTAAGCTATTCAAGTAGCGATTATAAAATTACCCTGAGGACAGGCTTCCATGTTAAATCCAGGTGTTTAAATGTGGGAAGAATTCCAACTGGGTGGTTATGACCAGCAGCAGTTTGAGTGGGTGCAGCAGACTTGCTTGGCCGTGTGTCCCAAACAAGAACAGTCCTACATAGAAACAAAACAACCGGCCACACTTAACATTAGTTTGTTTACTTTTTTAAATCGTGGACTGTTACAACTCATACACAGAGAAATGGAGTACGGTGGCCTCAATTTCTTCTTTTCCTGTTAGAACTGTTTTTGTTTGACCTGGAAATGGTTACTGAAATGCGCGCAGTTTTTGGTCGGTTTAGCGATACAACGCATTCCAGTCGCTAATCTTACAGTTTTCCTTGGTGTCGGCGAGTCCAAGTTTTGATCTTTTTAAAAAGAAAAAACCACTGGCTGATAAAAAAAACCCGAGCACTTACGAAAACCATTTTTCAAGGTCAAAATACGAAGAAAGATCGCTCTGTGCAGATATAGTTAACACAGATCATATAGAATATTACTTGTTAAGATCAAAAGGAATGCCGAATAATACATCATGTGACTGTGCAGTATACAATGTACTCAATTCTGCCTCACTTCACTGAATATTTGCCTAAACATACCACTTCAGAGTAAGGCAAAGTTTAAAAAGCAAATAAAACAGAGAGTTACATTGTCATGATATGTGTACGGTTAATTTGTTAGTTTCCGAGTAACAATTCTCGTTTCTATCGTAGGGGAGTCGTTTCTTTTGGGTATCAAAAAATGTTAACTTTCTCAGACAGAATGCCAACAGCTGAAACAGAAACAGGAGAAACAGTGCAAATCACGACAAAATGTCAGTCTTTCATTGAGAACAAATTAAACATCAAACAATGAATTTGCGAATTAGATGGTGATAGGCTTTAGTACTAAAGCTTTTCATACAGTGCCTTCTGGTCACAATCAATTAATAACAGCACAAAATTCTCGGGCATCATCTTTTAAAGAGATCATCGATTTTCAGGAGTTAATAGTATGGAATCAGATGTCAACTTTTTCTTATCCGAATAGTTTGGAGAACTTAACACTATTTTCATATGGTACTCACCCATCAGCCGCACATGACATCAACTGATTACACTGCTGTGTTTTATTTTCCACTACGACTCCCATCCGCCCGATCTGAAGACACATGCAATTAAACCAGTTGTTAGGCTTACTTTTGTGGATGACAATTATTCTAATACTGTATTAACAAACATGAAACACACTTGATGTTATTGTCGTTCGTTTGTACATTTTTTCGCTCTTCTTTCCTCAACTTTTAATAAATATAAATTGGCTGGATTCACACTAGAGACGGATTATCCGTCTGAGACGGGTTATCCGTTGGATAAATCGGGTCAGACAGATAATACGTGTTAAGGTGGCTCGATACAGTTTTCCAGGGCCAATACCCCCAAGTTTGAGCATAAACTACGTCGCCATAAACAAAGTTTTGAAAAAATTGCCACCACAGTTGTATTAGATAAAGATGAAAATTTGTTATGATCAGGGTTGCAACGGCATCGGAGTTGTCATAGCAACGAAATGACGCTATTACCTATTTTACTTGCAGCAGCATATCTCGGCACTAGGAACTGTTCTTTCAAAATCGTTCACGGGAGCTTTTTCCTCCAATAGCGGCCTCGACGTTCGTGAAGTTTAAGCGAAATCATTTCGTTGCTATGACAACTCCGATGCCGTTGCAACCCTGATCATAACAAATTTTCATCTTTATCTAATACAACTGTGGTGGCAGTTTTCCCAAAACTTTGTTTATGGCGATGTAGTTTATGCTCAAACTTGGGAGGTATTGACCCTGAAAAACTGTGTCGAGCCACCTTAATAGGCCACTTGCACTAAGAGGTCACGTGACCAACACTTCTTTGAAACAATGAGTTGGAATCTTGCTGATGCCAAAAATTGACAGAGCACATAAAAATTATCTTACACCCGAAATTTGAGAGGAAACGCATTTAAAGGAGATATTTTATGGCACTTTTTCAACAAAGTAGTATGATTTGTATTGGCCGCCTTGTTGGAGGGCATACTCTTGCCCTCCAACATGGCGGCCAAAACTACTCTTTGCTTATATCTTGTTAAACGTTTGATAGTTACGCACAGATGTGCTGTAAACGTTAGCACATCATCGTATCAACATTTTCCTTGAAGTTTAAGTGCAAAATTTGTGTCCAGAAAGAGATCACGTGACCAGCTACCAACTTACTCATTTTAAGAAAATGGTGCGGGTTTGAAAAACCAAATCTCTATTATTTTGTTTAAGATATGACCCTCTAATCGCTTTTCGAAGGCAAAATCATATAACTTTCATTTTCATAAAAACGATGTCACATTACCTCTAAGTGTAAATGGCCAATTTGAAAATGGAACGGTCTTAATTTTGGATGGACAATCCGCCTGACTTTATCCATCCTTTTTTCCGTCAATTTTGACGGATTTTGAAGATGGATCATGATCCGTTTCTAGTGTGAAGACGGCCATTCATATAACGTTTTATAATGAAAAATTATTCACCGAAGTGAGGGTGGATTGTCTGGGTTATATACCCAGCCAATGAAACTTGAAAAAATATACCTCTACAGATATCAAACAATTTTACAGTGCTATGCAATAACGCTTGTGCGCGCGAATTACTCTTAAACCCTAAGAAAAGTAATGAAACAAATAATTGGCGGGTTCTTAAAACATTTCACCATGAAAATCTTCGTTGAAATTTGTTCTAAAAGCATTTTAAGAGAGTAAAAGAACGGCGAAGAAAGCCTCTTGCCACCCAGTCACGCTTGAATAGTTTTCTATACAAATCCTTGTAAGTTACGACATTTTCAAACTGTCGTGAAATATTTCCTTAAGCATTACGGAGCTCAAATCTCCCTTTAATTCATAACAGGCAGTTTGAGCCCTTAGATGCGTAAGGGAAAAGATTTAACGAAAAAAAAATTTTCAGAATTTACAACGCGTTGTATGGAAAACCACTTAAAAGCGTAACTGGGTGGCAAGAGTTGTTTTTCTCATTCAAATCCTTCCAATTTTCGGCGGCCGTTGCAATCGCTACTTTTGAGATATACGGCTGAAAATTCACAGGTTGCATAATTTTCATATGCTTTTTCCGCTCATGCTAACAACATTTTTCAAAAACGATCTGTTTTTTTATTAATCTTAAATAAAACAACAGATTAATAAAAAAGGGTTAATCCTAGTATTATTTGCAGAGATGAAGTCAGTGATTATTCTGGCAAATTCAGCTTCCTGATTACCTCCATATGATCAGGTATCCACATAATGTCTGAAACAACTGTCTTATGACTGTGTTCAATAGACGACACTGCACAGTACCGGAGAATGGGTGAACGGTCGAAACTTGATTCATCTTCAAATCCAGGCTTGAAAAAGAAAAGAAAAAAACGCTTATGTTGATTGATATTCTCTCTGAGATAATAAATCATTAAATTTGCTTGAAAAATAATCTCCTTGAAATACCAATATTACCGGCAAACAAACACTTTTAAGTAATGGATCATATTTTGCATAAAGCACATTTCGCGCCTTATGGCGCGATGAGACTTTTTTTTTAACAACAACAACAGTTTATTCAACTATCAAATAATTTAAGACTATGTTACCCACAATTACTGAAGCTATTCTAGGTGGGCAACAATACAGTAATTGTCTCCTATAAATTCGGCAAAAGAACGGTAAGTGAAGAGAAAACAAAAATAAAATGAAATAAATAAATAAAATGTAGCACCTATAGATATAAGGAAGGAAAACACTTTAACTGAATAAGGAGTTCAGGTAGGAATTGGTAATGGTACTCATATCGACATACACCTTCTTGGTCTCCAAAACCTTGATCAGTAATTTATGTAATTTACGCTTGAAAGGGTCTTTGGGCTGTTTACGTAACGTAAGAGGAATTTTGCTCCAAATTGTTACACCACTTCTAGAAAAAGTAATAATAGCTGATTGAGTCTAGATCTCTAGAGATAAAAATTACCTGCGGCAGAAAATCTGGTATAATGAGAGTGGATCATGTTAGAACGGACGAGCAATTCAGAAATTTTAGAAGGAGCCCGGTTATTGGAGATATCGGGCATTAGGATAGCCGATATGATGAAGATGGCATTTCTGAATACACATTAACCTGCGAGCAAGCTCTCCATTTCGTTTGGCGAACGGAATGGTACTCGTGGCTAAAAAGTGAACGCCCAAGCTACTTCTCGCGATATCCCCCTTGCTTGTAGGCAAATAAGTGATCCGCGTGAGTGGAAAACCTGGTCCTCGCTCTTCCGTCTCCTTAAACGCGCCCCTCGCATGTGACTTCTCGCGATATCCCCTTGCCTGCGGGCTAAAAAGTGAACGCCCAAGCAAATGGCAAACCCACCCCTCGCTCGCGTGTCTCCTGAAGCGTGCAACTTGAGCGTGACTTCTCACGATATCTACCTTGTTTGAAGGCAAATAATTGACCAGCATTAGTGGCAAACCCGCTTCTCGCTCTTCCGTTTCGTTACGCGTGCCACTCGCGCGTCACTTCATACAATATCCCCCTTCCTTGCAGGCTAAAAACGCATCTACGTATCATGCAATCAGCTTTCCGCTTCAACAGTACACAAATCAAAGTTCCTCTATCCAGATTAAAACTGCAGTTACTGATAAATGCCATAGTATGCTGAGCACTCCTTACCAGTGTGTTCATGGAGTTTTTCTTTGTTTGACCATGGGACTGTCTGTGGCTGCGTAATCTGTCACCATGATTTGTTATATCCCACAACACAATCTAAACACAAGAAAATAATTCACATAAATTTACAACTGATTATCATCACAAACTCATTCATTTCAACACCAGCAATTCCGGACATGACTACTTGAGGAAGGTTGTTTTTTCGTTTATGCAAATTAGCTGACTAAACATAACCCTTTCCATACCAACCGCATCAAGCAAAGAGGCCCCCTCCCCCAACTCAATGTTGCTTCATACAAACGCCTAGCGTAGAAGCTTTCTTTTAAAGACATCACAGCATTGATTCCAGAGAGAGGGGGGTTGGTGATTCGCAAAAGGTACATTCTTGCAGCAATTTTTTTTTCCAAATCTTGTTAAATAAAATTCACTGGTTCCTGTTCCTAATGTAATTGCTGTGTTAAGAACTAGTGGACTAATTGCAAATCCTGCATTTTCATTGGCTTCACTTCTACAATTAGACTATTAAAAGTAATCCTCTAGCAGTGAAAAACACAGTCGATCAAGGCGCGTTTATTTCCCCAAAAAATTTGTTGCAACTTTATCATCACCTTTTTGTCTGACTAATTGGGAAATGGCGGAGCTCTCTCACACGCGAAACGCATGCAGCGGAGCACCATGGGTAAGAAAATTTGGTAATCTATGAATCCAAGAAATTTTGGTTCTGAGAAAATCGTCCGTACGTACGTCCACCCCTTCATGTAAGTCGAGGTGAAATATTGCATTTCAAGTACCCACGCGTTTCGGCGGTACATCGCATAGCCACCCGGACTTTTAGAGATGAAAAAGAGCAACAACGAAGTCGATTATTTCTTTCGACTTAATTTTAAGGTCTACATTGGCGTGGATAACAGAGAAAGCTAGAGCCAGAGATAAAAAAAAACAAAGGAGACCAATTTCGTTTGAAGAATAACATGAAAATTTTAAAGCGGCTGTGAGCAAATGAGAAATGCTATCGGCCACCAAGGTAAAAATGAGCGCTAGCGAAAAAAAAGTGAACAGGACCACTTACAACATTTCCTCCATAAAAAGTGTAACTAGAAAGTTTCTGGAAGTTTCACGTTGTCGTCGTGCAAAACAACGGCAAAGAGATGTACAAAAAAAGTGTGCTTGCACGTGCAAACCTGTTTTTTTGTTAATTAAATCTACTGCTACCGTCGCCGCTTGATTAGCATTACATGATTTTATATTTTGTTTCAGTAAACTATAGATATTAACGAGAGCTTCGCTTTTAGCCCTGACTAAATTTTTTTTTTAGTGAATTAGACCCCTTGCCCTAAAGGAAGATAGGTCAATAGCTGACCATACCACAAAGTAAAGGGAAATAGGTTACATCTGATGGATACTCGCGACAAAAACAGCACCTTCAAAACATTTCATTACCTCTTCGGCCCCCCACCCCTGCGCTTTCCCCTGCTCAGTTTTCCCATTTTGCCCGAATCCAACAGGCAAGAGAATAAGACGAACGCTGATCAATAATCAATGATTATTAATAATTGTAGTGAATATTACGGTGGTAATCATTCTACAGTCCCATGAATCCCACGCATGACATGAAAAAATTGTTGAAGACCATGATTGTGTCCAACCATGGTGGCTTAGCAACACTGTATACTACGAGTACTCCCTCGTTTTTCTTCAGGGGTAATAGAACAAGCAAAACACGCGAGCAGGCATGAAAATCACCACCCGCGAGGGAGGTGACACGAGGAGATGAGATAGAAAGTCAAACATTTATGATTTGGCTTTGTCTGTAGTAAGTTTCTCTATACTTCCTTCACGTCTCGCTTCTCCTCTCGTGACTCGCGCGTGGCAATTTTCACGCGCGCTTGCGAATTATCCCTGAGGAAAATGAGGGACCATTCGTAGTTTATGACTTAAAACAGGATATGCATTGACCGTGTGGCACGAAATTTTTGCGGGAGTCTATTTTCGCGGATTGGTGATTTTTGGTGTATTGCAGGGAATTAATTTTTGTGATTAGGACAAATTGGTTTTTCTTGCTGGGAATTAATTTTTGTAATTTTAGAAAGTGCCCAGTACCCAGCGTTGATAATATTTTCGTTTCTATTGACTACGTTTAAAAAAAATTACATATTTTCAAACAATAAACCAGTATTTCATTGTATACCGTTTTGTTTCTGAATGAAAAAGACAAGCTCTTATTGAACAGACAGGATTCCTTAGTATTTTGTGTAGCGAATTAAAAAATATTTACTCGGGAGTAAATTTTTGGGGGAAAAATGTTTGCCCTAATTTTTATTTGCGGGAACTTACTTCTGCGAACAGCTGGAAAAATCGCAAAACTTAGAACCTGCAAAAATTTCGTGCAACACGCTACGTCCTTTTAAAGAAAGACAATTAAAATACTTGCAGCTATACAAACATGGAATTGAACTGTTACCTGTCCATTTATGCAGCCTCCAGCAATGATATTTGGGTCAGAAGGATTAAACTTGAAGCAAAAGATATCATCAGGAGCTTCAAGAAGAGCCTAAAGAACAATACATTCTGTTTTAAAAATACTATTTGAACACCTCCAATTATCATGTGGATAACCCAATCCACTGGATAAATTTCTCTCCAGTGTTTAACACAATTGGTTTCACTAATACACCTTTGGCTTTCATTAACAGACAATATAAATTCATTTTATTTTACGGCAATTCAATAACATCATTCTTAGCAAGAACAGTTTTACGTAAAAATGTTCATTTTAATCATCCGTCGTTTAATTTGCGCAATTACCATGCTAATGCATCTTCAGTAAAACCGTCAGAATGTCATTTTCTTTATTGTAAAGTCTGTTATGTCTTTGGAAAAACATTAACATCAATAACACTGTCTACTACATTTTTTGAAAGTACCCTTTGCTTTATTTTACTACAAAAACACATACCAGCGGATGAATCGGGTCAGAGAAGCTCCAAATAAGTACCAGCGAAGAAGTCATAAGAATACGTGAAAAGTAATCCACCCTGTCATCAAATGAAAGACCTTCACCACAGGAAACTGCAATGATGCCTATTGAATGTGAAGAACAAGAGAAAGACAAGTCATCAATAAACACTTTTCAGTCAAACCCCGTTAATACGGACACTGATTTTTTTAAGCATCTGATAAGGGTTAACTTCTTGAATAACTAACTTGTATTTTTCAATTTCTTCACAATGTCCGTGGCAGTAATAACCCAAAATGATGCCCAAATCTAGACGCTTTCATAAATTTCTCTCTGAGGCCGTTTTGCTCTTATATCGGGGAGCAAGGGTGGCGGCAGTGGTGAGAGCACTCGCCTCCCACCAATGTGCCCCAGGTTCGAATCCTGGCGTTGACGCCATATGTGGGTTGAGTTTGTTGTTGGTTTTCTCCTTTGCTCCGAGAGGATTTTCTCCGGGTACTTTGGTTTTCCCCTCTCCTTAAAAACCAACACTTTCAATTTCCAATTCCATCTGGAACGCACGGACACGTTTCAACGAGTTCTTAAGAACTCCTTAGAGCTCCGTGGGTAAACAAATTACAATTTACAAAAATTCAAATTACAAATTTACAATATTCTCTAAAGCAAATCTGGCTGTTTACTTCAAACTTTTCTGGCTGGATCCACAACTCCACCTTTCATACCCAGCATTTATTTGGGAACCAAAAGATAAACTCATCTGTCTTTAACTGCATTCATACATAGATGCAAAATAATTTTGAAAGGGGAATAAATATTTCTGTCTAGAACACTCTACACTCCCTGTAAGTACTGACACGCTTATACAGGGCAGTATGATTCACAAAATTAATACTTAATGTACATCTGTATAACTATTTGTTTTTTATGTCACCTTGTTAGTGCATTATAGTCTTAAAGAATAATTAATGCACTAGTTTTTCTAGATTTTTTAAACCTGTTTGCTCAAAAAATAACAGAGAAACAGAGTCCTAGGTGTCAAACTAAACAATTTAGCTAAACATCTACTGCACTGTACCCTGTAGAGATTGCTCATAGCAACCTGCATTAAAGGCAAAAAATCCTCTGGAATGTCATAGTTAATGTTTATTTATTTCTTTCTTTATTTCATTATGCAAAATTAGAGACAACTTTACAGGCCATTTTACAATCAACTTTACAGGCAACTTTAAAGGTTAATGTTACCTTTGATAGCAGGATGCCATTGGATGTCTGTGATAGTTTTTTCCTTGCTGTACTGAAGATCAGTGAAGGACTGGTATTCCTGCAAACATCACATGATTGCAAATTATTACCTTGAATACAAATCAGAAAGACTGTTAAAAACATTTCCTGCAACTTAGAAGACAAACGAACATTCTGCAAACTGTTGTAGTATAGGAGACTTCAGTAAACCTGGCCTCTAAGCAAAAAGATCTCTGCTTTAATATGAAGTAGCTATACAGCTACCTAATGGCAGAACCACAATATATTTAGACAAAAAAATGCACTTGAGCATAAATTTAGTAATTACATATAATATTTTTTATTACCAAAAGAAATCTTAACTTCAACTACGGTACATGTACATGTTGTTTCCATGTATATGCCAAAGAATGAAAATTTGCTGAGTGACACTTAAATTCAATAATGTTGTGTTTAACAAACATATTCTCATTTCCTCGGATCTAACTTGAAAACACTGTGGTAAATATCTTTCTTGTGCATGAGTTCTCTAACAAGTAAAATTGTAAGTTTTTATTGGTTTTGTGTTATGATTCATGATGTATCACATAACCTTTAAATAGTTGTCTGACTTTGCACCAAAAGTAGTTTCATCATCTGCCAGGGACAAATAGTCATCATAAAACACATCTAAAATCTCATTTTGTTGTAAAGCCAACTCAAATCTGCAACAACAACAAATACGTCTAAATCTTTTATACATGATAATGCAGGGTGCAAAGAAAGGGACTTTTACACCTTGCCATTCAGGTAAGTTGTAGTTAGCGTGTACTAGTCCAAAAGTCGTTTCAACTAACACGAAAAAAAAATTTTTGATGAGCAGGTTTGATTACGGTTCCTTTGTGATTTGAATTCCCTGAAAAACATCACTTGCCTGTTAACTTAAGAATAGAACGCACCGGCCTGATAGCAAAATCCACTAGTCCCGAGTTATCGGACACTATTTCTTTGCATGCTGATAATGATGTACATTTGAACATTACACAACTAACAAAATGTACAAGATTATAGCTGACGAGCCTCTTCGCAACGGCCACCTTGGGGACAGAAGAAAGTGGCCATTTGATTGTAGAGAGGTTTAAAGAAGAGTCATGATGTATGGAATGTCCGCGAAAAAAGGGCTGTAGTAGAGAAGTGAACGTTGTGGAGAGATGGTTGTTAAATGGAGGTTCAACTTTAATTCCAGAAATGGAAAATGGCATGTATTATTTTAGTTCCATTATTTTATTATTATTACAAGTATTTTATAAAAATTGCAACAGCCCATTTAGGTGGGTGTATGGATTGGCAGATCCAAAAAAAGATGCAGTGAGATCAAGGGGTACATGTAGGATAAGTGAATGGATACCATGGAGTGCAAATACTGTACATCATGTTATTATTTCACAGTCAAAAGGTATGGGGGCTAGTTGAAATGATGTCTGGGCTGGTAAATGCTGGCTTCAGCTTGCCTGAATGGCAAGCTGTAAAAATAATTTTCTTTGCACCCTGGGTATAGCAAAAACCAAATACTTTTCTCCAGGTACTGAGCAGTAAAGTAATAGCCAGCACATACATATAATATTTGATCATAATACATGTACCTTGGCGTGACCTTGTCCATAAAACTAAGTAAGTCAACCATTGATTTTTGTATCTCCCCTTTAGTTTTTTCCTCTATGGTCCGTGGAGCATACTGGGTCACTGCATTACAAGGTTTTCTCCTGTAGAAATAAAATGTGTAGTACAGGTGTATGACTGAAATAATTTTGTGATGATAACATGTATATAAATCAAGTTATTTACAGCTGTAAGTATGTAGCTTTAAGTCCCCTCTGGAAACAAAAAATGCAGAGGGTAAAAATCACAATAATACAATACAGCAACTGCACACAGTAGACATAAAACAGCGAGTGTATATTATGTGACTGTAAAATTATCAGAATCAAAACAACAGTTATCTGTTTCAAGGAGATGGTCACTCATTATTCTTTTGTATCTGAAATAAAGCCACACATAACTTTGAAGTTTAAGAAAAGACATTAATTAAACAGTTTGCATACATTGTGTCTGTTCACAAACTACGCGTGTATTAGCCTGCGAACGGCAGACGTTTCTCCTCGCTCATCGCCCCTGAGGAATGTTTTGCGAGGAGGAACGTCTGCGACTCAGCAACAGAAATTCTATACTGATGACGCAAAATCTGTCTGGAATCCGGTCAGAAGCGCTAATTGGTCGACGGAGTAGATTCATTGTTTTAGCTATTGTTTACAAATGACAGACAAAAGACAAAAGGCCGCAAAGGTCAAATGTAAAACGCGATGAATCTCTAACAAAACAGTCAATATTTGTGGAATATAGTCTTCTCTAAAAGTAGCATTTGAGTTTTGCTCCAGGTCATTCGCAGATGAACACAACACTTCTCCAAAATCGACCAGGAGAAACGTAAAATTGAACAAATTTGCATTTGGAAACCCATGACTACCGGATTTATTTATGTAAACATTGATTTACGTCATCAGTATGGAATTTCTGTCGCTGAGTCGCAGATGTTCCTCCTCACGAAACGTCCCTCAGCAGCAATGAGTGAGGAGAAACGTCTGTCATTCGCAGGCTACGCATGTATTAGCTTCCTTTTGAATGGTGGTAACATCCATTTAAACAGTTTACAGTATTATCTTTAAACATCAATATTTCCCTCTCAAAGAGTTGATTTTTTACCAAGCCATGCAGTATAGCCCTGATCAGCACCTTACCATTCTGTTTGATTTCCAACCTCAGTTAACACTGGAACAGCCTGCAAAGAAAGACACCAACAGCCAAATGCATTTCAGACTCCTTTCCTGTGGTATGCACACTAAATGTGCACATAAACCAGGTTTATTTAATTAAAACTTATCATATAATGTCTAGTAAACATCATGTACAAAAGGACATTGCACCCTTTTTGTAGGGTGGCAAAGGAGGGAGTTCCAATCATGCATCATGCCTAATTTTTTTTTAGCCATCATGCATCAAGGGAAAAAAAATTGGCTGTTACGCATCACGTAAATGAGGTGTGCAATAGGCCGCTTCTGAGTTCTAAAAACTCTCCCTTTCAAAAGGCTATTAAAGTACAAAACCTTTCTTGTGAAAAAGAGATTATTTCCATGAGAACAAAAAATAATTTTCATATCAATAGCTTCACCCTTAGTCTCACTTTAAAACAAAGGCTAGGACAACTCCGAAATGGCGAATTGTAGTAAGTAAATGTGGCAATATCTCAATCCATTGAATGAATCATCTCTGACTAACTTATTGTTCTCAGCGTCCTTTGGGTAAGATCACAAATTAACAGTTAATTTAATGTCTTTAACTGCTCAAAAGTGGGTTTTCTGAAATTTACTAACCATATTAACCGGTATTCACTGATCTGAGAATAAAGGTCATAATCCCGGGGAGGGGGAGGGGGGGGGGGACTCCCTTATATGACATATACGGGGATGTGCTGCTGAACATGGTATGGTTTTTGCCCTCTCTGTCCTAAACAGAGTATAAGTAATAATTTATATAATTCATAATTTTGTGTGAGTCAACCTGCACAATTGATGTGGTTTGCTCGATGAATTTTGTTTGTGCTCCAAGTATTGTCAAAGCTCTCATGACCGACCTGCTTTGAAATTTGAAAAAGTGGTTGTAACTAGACCTGGTTGCTTACGAGAGTGGTCACAAGGAGAGCTTTGACTGTATACAAAAGCAATAACCATGCCTTGAAATTGGTATATTGCAACTGCCAATAAATGGCTTTAACATTAAAGACAGCGTGCATTTTGTCCTAAACAGGGTAATAAAATTGAGAGTGTTGTCGTAAACAGGGTATGTGTTTTAAGAATTTTTGTCCTAAACAAGTTCGTACGGTGGCCCACAAGTGCACACCGAATTCCAGAAAGTCACACCGAATTCAAATAACTCACACCGAATTCAAATAACTCACACCGAATTCAAATAACTCACACCGAATGCAAATAACTCACACCGAATTC